CCCAAAAAAGAAATTATTCATTCACCTACCTTTTCTGGGAGATGCTTTATCAGACCTCTTGAACAAACGTCTGACGCGTGCAGTGAAGCAGACCTACAACGCAGCTCGATTATCATGTGTGTGAAAACTGTCAGCCGGTGTAATAGGACCTCCAAACGACGTAAGAACACGTTACATGAATCCAACGAATGTGAAGATAAGGTAATGAACTTCGAATTGGTAAATTAGATGGTATAAATGGGGTAAGCAGAAAGCTAGAAAAAAAAACAATCTACAGTGACACCAGAATAAATCGCTGATGACGGAAGGTTCATACGGATAACAAACAAAGAAATCTTGCGACTGTAGCAAAAAAAGAAAACATTATATCCTTGCACTAAACAGAGACGAACTCTATTACAACCGATGATATAACCGTCTGATATCTGAGTGAGGGATTGAACTTTAAACGGGTTAGTGAATGTGGCCGTAGTTTGACCATATCATGGAAAATGAGTGGTCCCAAGTCTTCCCCCTAGGGGTTAGCAAGATGTAAGGAATATGGAGAATGATATAGTAAGATTAACGTACTTCGTAAGCAAAGCGTTCCAAATCGTCCAGCTGACGTCTCAATTCCTCAATCAATTTCTGAGGTTTCGCATTCAGAGCGTTGGACAGTTGGGTGTCCCCATCGGTCTTCTAACGGATAGAAAAGAAACGACACTCAATATGTCGTAACGATCGGTGTTACATATACATACATATATCATCCGGCAAACGTACAAGGAGGGATAGTAGTGAAAATTGCTTACCGTGGCAGAAGAAAGCGCTTGCAGGTCGGGAATTCCACGTGAGGCGAATTCGTTCAGTGATTGGAGCATTTCCTCACGATTACCACCCTCGGCATTCAGAACTTGTCCAAGACGAAACTGGACCTGGGATGAGTGGTACGAGTGAGACGAATAAGCGGCACAGAGAGATTTTTAGAAACAAAGCTTGAAAAGTAGGCGAAACCAAGCGAGGTTTTAACTATTTGCACAAATCTAGTGTAGGTGTGGCGCATGAGCACCAAACGAACCGGTTTTCGAAGGGGTTATATATAGTTCCGTGAACTCGGTATTGGTAGTAACCTTATACCCGGGCGGAACTGAGAGCTAACCTTCCACTTCTCTCTCTAAAGATCAACTTCAACTTCCTTTTATTCTAAAGATTGAGTGCTTCGATAGCTTGCATTACTTGTGGTACAGGAGCAAATATTAATGATAAAATAGTCGTAGTATTCAGAGAATAATCGTGTCCGTTGTTTTTGCACTATTTGACGCACAATGCCAAACCAAACGGGTTCGTTTTACTAGCGGCTCTGTGTGCGTACTGCCAGTGAAATTTAGTACCCCATAAAGAAATAGGCTTTCAAATGGTGACAGGTGATACACGTTCGACCCAACGTGTCATCAACAACAGGGAAGGATCAACTGGACGGAAAACGATTCGTCTGCCTTCCTCACCCAACCCCGCCCAGTTTTTCGCATTTCTGGAGAACCACATCCATTTTGGGATACTATTACAACAGCCTGAGAAAAGCGCCTGAATACAAAATTTCAACTCTGCGGTTTTCGCCAAAAAACAATGAAATCCAAAATGTAAGATAATACCCTGATAAAAGTATTGCACTGCAATGGAGTTTCATCAGAGGAAAACACAACAGGATTGCGGAGAGCGTGAGTTCTGTTTCAAATCCTCCATAGGCCTTTGGTGCGTATCTTATCATCATCATCGTCGTCGTACAGCGAAATACAGTGAGTCGAACTTCACTGATCGCTGTCAAACTCGCAATGCATACAAGATTAGTGGTAAAATTCAAGGTGGACGGAGTGGAACTACTTTGAGGGAGGGGGAGAAGGTGAACCCCTATGGTCAACACAGATTACACAATCGAACCCTGCATACACACCGTTTCAAGCATTCTCATCTGTTAAGAAATGACAACAAGAACGCCACTGCCGTCGGTTCGATGCCATAGCCTTCAATGTCTCCAACCGACCGGTCGTGGAGTCTTTCGGACGCCAACCTGGGAGGTGAGAGACACCTACTCTACCTAATGGCTCTGTGCATTTCTTCATGCATCGTCTGCAAGTCATCTGTTAAAATCCACGTAGTTTCCTCCAGCCCAGATTAGCTACAGTGAATAAGGCACGGTGCGCCAGACGACAGCTGGGCATATACAATACGTGCCCTAACCAGCGAAGTCGACTAATCTGAATTCGGTGTGCCAGCAGGTTTATACCTGATAGACTCCCAAACACACAACGACACACACCTAGTATGAACCCGTTCGATCCATCCCACATGGGCTAAACTACGTAAACACCGATAATCGAAAACTTCTAATCGACGGATATCTTCTACTCGCAAATTCAAGGTCTCACAACCATAAAGCAGGACTGAACAAAAGCTAGCACAATATACAC